AAAAAGCCATGGCTGTGGTAGGACCACTTGGGGTCTCTCTTTGGGATTTAGGTGTTTTCCTTTTGATGCCGTATCAGTCCAGTACTGAGGCTGATGCTTTGACCTTGATTTGATGGCTTCATTTCTCTCCCGTGATTTTTAGACTTAATTTTAAGCGTTTCTGGTTTGAAGTTAGACCTTTTGATTTGTATCATTATTTTTCCCACGGATCCAAAGCCTTTAGGCTTTAGGGAATTCCAGTTATTCAATGTAAAAGCCTGTCCAGCTCCCTCTTATTAATTTCAAGAGCTGGTACCCTCGTGGCCTTTGGGGTAAAAGGTGTTTCTGTTTGATCGTCTGAGGCGTTTGTAGATAAACTCAGACTCACCTCAGAGCCTGCCAGTGGGCGCCACGCAGACCTGTGAAACCCTTTCCCCCCGTGTTAGACGAGGTGCCAGTGCTGTGCAGCACTGATGAGCCCCGCTCGGTGCGCGAACTCGGTGCTGACGAGGTCTCGCCGTGCCTTTCTCGTCGCGTCCTCCCGGTGCTGGACTCGGACGGGGTTCAGGCACGTGTACTGGTGGTGTTCCCTCCTGCCTTGACCGTTGGGCTGCGGTGGCAGAGCTGATCCATGTCTCCAGAGCCGCTCAGCAGCGAAGCTCGATTTGAAAACAGCTGATGAGAGTGTCTTCCGAACCCTGCAGAGGTTCTGCCCCTTCCCCTCTCCCCCTGCCGCCCCACGCTCTGCATGCCCCGGAGAAGGTGCAATACTAACGGTCTTGCTCCACCCGCCTTCAGGTGAAACGGTGTCACTAGTGGACGTGGACATCTCTCAGCGAGGACTGACCTCCCCTCACCCTCCGACTCCACCACCTCCACCACGAAGAAGCCTCAGCCTGCTAGGTACCGTCCTGGAGAGCGTCCTTGGCCGGGCCCATCCCTGTGGGAGCGTAGGAACTGCCCGTCTGCCCTTGCAGGGACGGTGGAGGAGCAGCTTGGGGTTCCCCGGCAGCGGGCTCGCTGCCTGCTCCTCTGACCCTGTCACGTGCCTGCTCGCCCTTCCCCAGCAGAGGATTTTCTGCCGTTTGTTGAAAGCTTCAGTGTTTCTCTTCGATCGACCAGGAGGGGAGGGCGGTGGCGGGGCAGTGTGAGGTGGGAGGTAACGTGCTGGTTTCGTGGCGTTTCTGCCGCTTGTGGAAACTTTTCCCCCCTTCCCACCCATCACCCAGCGAGGCCGGTTCCTTTCTGTGCTCTCTAGTCAGTGGAAGTGACTGCTCCCTCCTCCCTGGGAGGCTGCTACACCAGGAGCCTGGCTTAGCTGCTCCACATCCTCCTCTGGAGGAGGTTCCTCTGAGCAGGAGCAGCTTCGGATGGGTGAAATCAGCACCTTGAACTGCACGGCCCGTGCGCCGGGTCTGTGAAATCTCCTGGAAAGGCCTGTCTTGTGCTGGAAGCTGCATGCGAGGAGCTAGCTGGGCTGGAGAAGGGACTCCTTCGCTCTAGGAGGGTGTGTGAGCGTGCATGGGCGTGTGCAAGCCTCCGAGAAAGGAGGATGGTGAGCTGCCGCTTGGGAAGCTCCATCTTCTCCCGGCAAGGCCGAGCGCCGGTTTGCTCGGGCCGCGTGGTCGGGGCTCGCCGGCGCAGAGCTCGCTCGCTTTCCTGTTTTCTGAATCTCTCTTGCCTCTGTTCTCTCCTAGATGATATCAGTGGGACGCTGCCTACATCTGTCCTAGTGGGTCCAATGGGCTCCTCCCTGCAGTCTTTCCCTCTGCCTCCGCCTCCTCCGCCCCATGCCCCAGGTCAGCTTAGCTTTAGCAGCAAGGCTCTGGCTTTCCCTTCGGGGATCTGGACTTTGGGGGTTTTCTTCGTGAACTTTTAAGGTTGCGCTTGGGGCTTTGACAGCAGCGGTGCTGCCCGCACCGCCCGCTGGGGGACAGGCCGTCCTGCCTGGCTGCGTGCTCAGGCGCTGG